GAGAAATTTCAAGCATGTGCAATAGAATGAAAAGGTAAGAGAGGTAGATTTGGAAAAGAACAAAATCGAAACTCACAACAATGAAAAATATGTCATTAAAATAAAGTAACTCACTTAATGGACTGAATGGTAAACTGCTAAAGCAGGCATAGGTGACTTGAAAGATATCACAGATAAAAAAAGAAAACAGAAAAGAAACAAACCTGGAAGGTAAATAAGATCTAATAGGAGTTTATTGAAAAATATAAAAAAGAGGGAGGCGATATTCAAAAAGTTCGTTGTGGAGAATTTTCCAGAATCAAATATCTTCTCAGTTTGAAGAAGTAAAACTAATTTCCAACCATGATAAAGGATTCCTCATTGTTATATCTTAGTGGAACTTCATACCATCAACAATAAAACAACAAAAAAAATGTTAAAAGCTACCAGTGAGAAAAAACATTTACTTATAAAGACATGATACAAGACAGATTTCTCCTCAACAAAAGAAGTCAGATGTAAATGGAATATTATCTCCAAACTGTTGAGGGAAAATAATGGTCAATCTAGCATTCTCTACCCAAGAAAGCTATCATCCAAGATTAAAGGCAAAACTAAAGAATTTTGTTGTCTGAAGACTGCATGAGTTTATCCCTCACAGGCCCTTAAAAGAATTACTAAAAATGTACTTCAGCAGGACAGAATCAAATCCAGAAGGAAGGAATGAACTTCAAAAAGCAAAAAAAAACTTAGTATGTTGGTTTCTTTACATAAATATAAGTTAAAAATGAAGATAATGATTACTAGAGTCTTAAAAACAAGGAGAAATTAAAATAGTAGGTAGTAATGTGGAAAATGAAAGAAGGCATTCTAAGATCCTTTTATTTTTAGGAGGCAGACATAAATATTGACATCTATTAAAAATTAATGTATGTTAATTGTAAATGAAAAATAAAAACTTTAAAAAAATTTAAGCATCAATGCTAAAAGAATAGAAATAGTAAATTAACACTTCTAAACCAGTAAGGGGCGGGGCGGGGGAGGGAAGGTATTAACGAAAGCTAACAACCTGATAGAAAGCAGGAGTGAAGGAAAAGAAAATAATAGAAAATACAAAATAAGTATGTGTTTGTCTTATGTATATGAATGATGGCAAAAACAGATTTAACTTACATCTTAAGCACTATAAGATTACATTTTATTTTAATCAGCCATGTACCACTAATGCAGTACACTTAAAATAATACAAAGTTTAGAAGTCATACTCTGCCTTGTGGATTTTATTATTGAAAAATATCAGAGTAAGAAGGTAGCATTGAAAATGACTATGATTTCTTGCCTAAGAGACTGGGGAAACCATTAACTAAGGATGATAGAAGAGAAAGACCCACCTTGGAAGTGAAAATAAGTTATATTTACTGACTTCTTCCTAAGTCTTTTTTTTTAAATTGGGGAATTGGGGGAATGGGAACAGACAAGTTGCTGTCTTTTTGTTCTTCAGTCTAGTTGTGGAGGATGTTGCCTCACTGGCCCAAGTTGGTACCATCATTGCGCTCTTCCTGGGCGAGGCAGATCAGTCGCCAGCTTCTGGACGGCCGCTCATGGCAGCTTGAGGGCCGCTCACGCTGGCTGCTGGCTACACACGGTAGCCCATGGCAACCCACTGCAGCAGGGGCTGCAGCCTATGCCATCGCCGGTGACTCACAGCAGCCCAGCTCCAGGTTGAGCTGTTGTTCAGCATCTTAGCTGTAGAGGGCAGTGTCACTGGCCCTCATATGAGGGATCCGAACTGGGGCCCTCTGGCGTCCCAAGCCAGTTCTTAACCAATGCGCCACTCAGCCAGCCCTTCCTAAGTCTTAATTGGGGGTCTACAAAGGAAATTTAGAAGGAACATTGGAGAGAACTTGTGTCATGGAAGAACAGACACAGGAGGAGAATTTGAAGTGTGTAATGGCATGGAAGCTCCTAAAAGAAAGAATTCAAGAAGAAAACACAGGAGACTTCAAGGACAAAGATGATGTAACAGTGCTGGAGAAAGGGTGAGCAGAATGAATATTCAGAAGAATCCTTTACATCAAGCTTTAAGAGGACAGATTAGTAGGGTGTTGGGTTTACTGGTAAGACATTAAGGAAGAAAATGGGAAGAAATCAAGGAAGCAAGAATGGGTTTCTCTCTCAAGACGTTCAGCACATAAGGGAAGTCAGAATGGATGGTGAAGAGAAATGCAGGCTCAAGGGAAGTTACCTTGAAATAGGCAATAACCATTTTTAAGAATAAAACCTTAAATTATCTAGAGCCCTAAGGGAAATTAGTTTCCTGGGTAACCATCTTTTCTAGGTGACCTAATGCTGCTTTTTAAAATACCAAAGCTAATTTTGGCCATTTTAGAAATCCCCAAAGTCACCAGTATTAGCAATATCAGGGTGGTCTCTTGTCTTTAACTAGAAATGATACTCTTTCATGACTTAAATAACCAGTCAGACATTGTTTAACCTTGATCTGTCTTTGCCCCTTGACTGTTGAGGCCTATAGGATTATTTGCCTCTAAACTAGCCACAGGAGCGGTCTTGAAATCTTTTATCTGTTTTTTGACATCTGAGTATGTTTTTTTACTGTCAGCCATCTTTTCCCATAACTTGCCATAATTTTTCTATGACTAGTCTGCTCATGAGCTGGGTTAAGGTGTGTTCAGCCCTGACAGATATATCTGCTTTGTATATTGACTCAGCCAGGTTTCTGAACTTGAAAGGCGAAGGTCCAAACCCTGGTCAGTCACCATGATAATAAACGCCCTGATGTTCCTGGTAGCCTTTCCCTATGTGGTCAAAGCTCAGATATACAATTTAATATAAAACCAAGTAATCTGGGGTGCGCCTCTGAGAGGCTCTTTTGAGTATAGTATATGAGTTGCGATATGTGAATTTGGGGACATTTATTTGGCTCTTTAGCCAAAGTCCTCTTTAGAGGCCTTTCTTGTTTATTTCCTAGTCACAGCAGAACTCTGAGAGCACGAACTGGCTGTATCTTCCCTGAAGTGTAACTTTGAGATTTCTGCCTCAAAGCTGATAATTGTCTCAATGCCAGTAGAAAAGGAGGGGGGGATTTATCTCTCTTTCCCACCTACCACCCATCCTCCAGGAGGAAAGGCATTTATTTTCTGATTAACTAAAAAAATAGCCTCTGCTCTGCCACCTGTAGTGTATGCCCTACTTCTGTCTGCTACCTGGGCTGTACAAGTAGGCTTGTGTTTCAAAGACTCTACCACCTGGAGTCTTAACTATCCTGAGATCATTCACCACAGGCCTTGGTCTTAATGTAACGATGGGGCTAGATGTGGGTCTTTTAACGTGAAAACTGTAAATTCATAAAGGGCTGTAACAAAAAGAATGGAGACTTCTGGTATTCTGAAATCCATAACTAACAGCTCTGTAAACAAGGCTGAGACATTCCAAGTAGGGAACAGCCACTAGTAATACCAGGGTGGTCTCGTGTTCAGGGCCCAGAGGCTGGCTTCCAAGAGGCCTTACTTGTAGGGTGACATTTATTATCTTGGTGATTTACCAGACACGGGCTTTTTAGCTTTTCAGGTTCAGAGACTCGTTGGATCAACATTACAAAGAACAGATTCATTGTCAGAGGTGGGCTTACCTTAACCAAGCTTACAAGATTGATCTGCAAATCAAACTGCCAGTTGACATTTACGCATAAAAATATAACTGACTGATATTCTTAAAGTACACATGACTAGCTCATTTTTTCCCTGTAGGCAGGCCTACACAGGGAGGCATATCATAATCAGGTTATTTGGTGAACAGGAAATTAGAGTAATGGTGAATCATGTTCAATGGCATAGGCTCAGACAGTAATCCATCCACACTAAATATGGTCCTACCAGTGGAACTGAATTTCTTTGTGAAGGCCGTCAGCTAAGACGCTCTCTTATTTGAATAGAGACCTGCCCATGTTTGTCTCATTCTTTTATGACTCAAGGCTAACCTAGGCCCACACCTACCCAAATCACCTCCTCCCGCACCAGCCTTTCTCTAGACCAGAGGTTCTCAACCTGTGGGTCGCGACCCCTTTGGGGGTCGAACGACCCTTTCACAGGGGTTGCCTAAGACCATTGGAAAACAAAAAGATATTTACATTACGATTCATAACAGTAGCAAAATTACAGTTATAGAGTAGCAACGAGAATAATTTTATGGTTGGGGGTCACCACAACATGAGGAACTGTATTAAGGGGTCGCGGTATTAGGAAGGTTGAGAACCGCTGCTCTAGACGTTAATACTTCCATCAGCTTAAGTTTACAGTTTAAATCTCAAAGAGCAATCCTATTTTCAAATTCTTGGGGGATCCCTCAATGTACTTACACTGGTGAAGAGGAGAATGTGGCATTGATAAGGATGGGTGGAGCAGCTCACCCACACCAAGGTTTATCTGTCATTACTAATTAAAACCTTCACGTTTTCACTGTATTCCTATTATATGTGTACATCATTAATATTTTTCTTTAAATCAACTCACTTTAAAAAAACACATTTATTTTAAAAGGAGATTTACCCTTGCCATAAGTGGAAAATGACTATCCTTTGTCCTAAAAGGAATGTGACCCTAAAAATAAACATACTAAAAATAAAAGCTCTTTTTTTTCCCCCATGTACTTTTTTAGCTAGACGCTGTTTGCCATGGAACGTTGAGCCTGAGCAGATTCACGTTAACAGTGCACTAGCACCAAACTGAGACTCTCCTTGATATCATCAAAAACCTTGAAAGAAGAATGAGCATTGAAACAATTTAGGAGGTTAATGTATCTTGCATCTTGTCCGTCTACCATCTAGAAAATAATTTACATTAGGCATCCCACATTTGGGGGAAGCATGACCTAGGCTTTTTGAGACCCTAAGGAAATGTGAAAACTGATTACATGGCTGTAGTGATGCCTCCTTGCTAGCCTTGCCTGACCTGGTTTTGCCTGAGGCTGCACTGATGGTCTCATTCCTGCTTCTTCGTGCACAGGTACACACTGGCAGCTCAGGACCTGGTGATGCGTGCCCGTGGTGTCCTGAAGGACAGAGGATGGCGGATATCTAATGACCGACTGGGCTCAGGAGATGACATATCTGTATATGTCATTCCTTTAATACATGGAAACAAACAGTCATGAAAATGGCCCAAGGGATTGGAAGAACAGAAGGAATAGAGCTGGGATGCCTCTTGGCAGGGCAGCCTGGAAGTGACCCAGCAGCGTTCCAGGTGATGCCACCTCTTCCCAGCCCAGGTGGGGAGCTTGCTGCTGAAATGCCTCTCTGGCTGTGCTTCAAGAGGATCCTTAGGTTTCAGTTTCCTCTTTAGTAAAAGGTCTGGATACTCAACAAAAGCTAAACATAAAGGCTGCTACTGAGTGTTGTGTTTCTTTTGGTTCCTTTAGTAGGCCTCTTAGGTGGCCACTGGCTATGTTGGGTACACACATCATATTTATTTTATCTTGAGTAGCTGGGGCAGCTGTTTTCAGGTTCAACTGGCAGAATAATCTTCAGCCTGTCCAGCTGCAAATTTCTCTACAGGTTAAAAGTGCTGCATTGGAAAGTTGGGGATCATGCCTCAGAAAGTGAGTGCCCACCTTCTAGTACGCCTGAGATTTATTTCAGGGAATGCTATCTGTGCATATGTCTATCTCTATGTTTCCATGATGATGATGGGGTGAGGCAGGGATTTGGGGGTGGGGGATATTCCTTAAATCATAATTGTTTCCCTTCTGTAGAACAGGCCTGGTTGGGACTTTCCAACTCCTTGCTGAGGAATTTGTGTGTCAGAGCCCAGCCCTGGCTGTCCCCATATCCTGCAGCCCACACCACCCACACAGCCAGCCGGAACAGTGCCCTGGCTAACAGAGACCTGTCTTTGTTGTGTAATCACTTGTTACCAAGTTGAATTTTCTCACTAAATCAATGTGTTCTCATGAAATTTTGGGTGTTTCTTTGGACCAACAGTTCCTCCACTGTCTTCTAGGATCCCCCTTGTGTGGCTTGAGGTTTCTCTGTTTGTTTCTGAGTCTGGGTTTTCATTTCTGGAATGGTCCTCCCACCCCGTGCTGTGCCATGGGGACACACGTAAAGCAGTGTTTAATAGAGCAGTATAGGATGCTCCTTGTATCAGTCAGTTCTCCATACCTCATTTCAGGGCTGCCCCTCCATTTTGGATCCAGGGTCCCTGGGCTGTGACTGTCCTCAAGCCCACTCCAAACAACATGTAAGTATCAAAAGTCTCTCAAGAAGCAGTAGGCCTACTCTCCCCATCATCTTTGGGCCAGGCCCACTCAGAATGGCCTTTTAATAAAACTGAATTTGAATTAGGTTGACGGGTCATTCTCATGCTGTATGCCTGCTCCTTCTCCACTAAATTATGTCCCACTACCCAACCACTCAGACCCCCATTCTCTCTGTCGCTCCACCTCAGGATGTTCCTCACAAGAGCAGCAGAAGCAGTAGACAGACCAGACCTACCTGTAGCTTCACGGCCAGGAGGAATCGCAAAACAGATATTTGGAAATCACTTCTAACTCTCAGATTGGTTCTCTGCATTGAAGGACCTTGTACAGCAATGTCCAATTACCGAGTCTTCTTCCTGCAGAGTTCCTGTGGTATCACCGCCATCCTGACAACTTTTTGTAATTAAAACATTCTTCCCACCCAATGAAGAAAAAGGTCATTGGTGTGATCCCCAAAATGCTGGAGAGCCAATTCCAGTTCTCATGTTTGTCTGAGTCCCTGCCCTAGAAGAGAGGACAGGAACCTTTCCTTTGGGATAATCAGCTGCATTCTTAGAGTTATAGATATTGTCTTAGGAATGGTCAGGAGCCTTCCTGCTGAGGAGTGTGTTCATCACACAGTGTGGAAACAAGAACTTGGCAATTCACCCACCAGGTGGTTGCCAGAATGTTGCCTGGGAAGAATTGGACTACAACCTTCTCAGGAGTCCTCTTCATCTGACAGTTTCCCTCCTTTCATAAATCTTAAGTACCCCAAACATCTGTGTGGAGAGAAGTTTGTGGTAAACTATTTGTTTTTCTGGCAGAATATGCGCCACGGGAAAACCTAACGACATCCTACAGCCACGTGGTCCATTTTCTGTTCCTGCCCTGACTCTCAAAGCCACATAATACAAACTGGAAACTTAAGCAAGTTTTCCTTGGAAGACTCTGAGCCACTAGCTTTAGGAAGCTGTTCTCATAAGCAGTCACCTCTCTCTTGTGTTCCCATGACCTTTCATTTATTTCCTGTCCTGGACTTCTCTCTGGGCTCTACCTTGAGCTTCTTGTTTTATTTGAGCCACCAGAGTCTGAGTTTGGGTGTAGACATCATGTAGATGTTACCACAGCCTTCTAATCAATTCGTCAATTCATTTACTACCAAGGCATGTCTCAGGAAAAACTCTGGAACCTCCTTATTCAATTTATCCTAAAGTCTTGAGCATTTAGTCCTACTGATTTTAGTTAGAAAGGTACCTCAGAATGCTTTTCATAAGTCCCCTGGGGTGGAAAGATCTCAGTAGCAAGCTGAAGCCATGATTCTCTGTTTGGGGGAATGGGAGGAAAACTACAAATGAGGTGAATAAATCAAATGTGGAAAAAATGATTTGTTAATGCCCATAGCAGATCTATTACATTGATATTGCTCTGTGAATTGAGCTTACTTGGTTTTGGCTTTATTTTTCACCCAGGCCCCATGTCATCCCATCCCAGAGCAGTAAATGTGTCCACATAACAGGTCGGCCCTTAGAGCATTCCTGGAAAGGTCAAAAAGCAACACACTCAAAATTCTGCAGAACATATTTATACGTGGTTCTGAAATCTTGTGTATCTGAGTTATAGCCAAATCTGCTTGCTCTCATAGTCTCAGAGGAAGTCTTGTTTAATAAAAAGCTTTCGATTTCTAGTCAAGTCTTTATTGTTGTCTTGGGGTATGTGCGTGGCCACTTCCTTTAATGAAAGGCACTTTCAGTTCTAAATCTCATTGTGGGGCTGGCCCCTGCTCTTTAGAATATTTGGTGATACTCTCTTTCTTAAAAAGAGAGCAAACTCATACTCCATCCACACTCTTCAGCATTTCCCCAGGCAACAACCAAAGCTGGGTTCTCAGAATGACTGAAATCAGAGTGGGGCCAGCAGTCAGAGGATGAGGGATGTTCTGCAGTGGTTGTGCTGGCACGACTGCTGTTCTTGGGGTGAGAAGGGAGAGGTGAAAATCAGGCGAGGCCAGGTACTCAGCTGTCTACTAGGACAAAGCCAAAAAAAAGTGGGAATTTCACTTGTTTTCCACAGTACACAGCTTTGAGGAATTTGGGGTGTTTAGTTTTTTTAATCTCTACCAGTTTACCTCCATGGGGTTGTGTCAGGTCAGCTGTGCTCACCTTCTTCTTACTCTTCAAAGTATTCATTTACTTGTTACAGAATTAGGTGAGCAGGGATGAGTGACCCAGTATCCACTGTGGCCTCAGATCTTGGCCATTCGGATAGGGTTTTTGGTTTACCAAGACTAGCATGGAAACAGGTGGGAAAAAATCTCCCACATCTTTAAAATTCTGATTCTCCTCTTGACCTCACCTTCTTTCTCATCTGTCAATCAACTTTATTTACAAGGCCACAGGTTTTCTTTCCACCACAGTTGGAGGATCTAACCTTTCCTTAAATGACTTTTCAGAGTGGAAGTTAGGCTTTCATGAGATTCTATTTTCAGTAAGTTAGTGCTTCTGGGACACTTGGAGAAAGCAGTGAGAGTCCTTGTCTATGCAAAAAACAATCAGACTGACCCAAAAAGTGACCAGATCTAAGAAAATAGTAAAAATTATTTTTTAGAAACTTGGGATTTTTGAGGACTGACAATGAGAAATTCTGTAGCCTGTACACCATACATAGCCCACCTGGCTGAGCGAACTGTGGTGCTGTGTGGGTGAGGTGGCTTATGTCTGTACACTGGGGCTTTGCAAAGGACACTACCTGAGCTGCCCGACTTGCCTCTTATGTGAGCACCGTGGCAGCTCTTTGTCAGATCTGAGTGCCAGGCTAGGGATTCCTGCACTTTCTAATCCACGATGGTATCTGTGTACATAGCTTTAATTTTTCCTCTGTGTATTAGATGAAGTTTTGTTCATGTACAGACCAGGTAGACAGTGACCTAAGGAGGCTGTATATATGCTGTTGTTTTCTACTGTGATGTACTTGAAGGAGAAGCTCATGTCCTCCACTCTTCCAATCTTCTGTACTATTTTGTGTTTGTTTGGGGACTCTCGAGGTTACTCTTGTACTCTTGTTTTGCCTCCATTTTCTTTGTTTCTTCTGGAGACCTGGGGAGGCCCACAGTGGAGGTCATTTGTAAGGAATGTATCATAAGGTCTGGGTTTCCAAAAGTACCCTACGTACAGTGAATGAGAGGAATCTACCTGAAAATGGTTTCAGAACCATGTACCTTTATGCGTTGTGATTGTGAAACCTTGACGTTTGTAACCCAAAAGTGAAAACTATTTAGTAATGGGGATCTATTTTGTGTTTTGAAACTTAGGTCCAATGTTCCCTGGAAAAGTAAATAAATGTATCTGCTCAATGACATTTTAAAATAAAGTATTATATATATGTATATAGGACACCTTTAGCAAAAGTTTTTTGTGTCATTTCTTTAATTCACTATGAAGTTTCTTCATATCAGGTAATGGAATGATGAGTGTATGGCCTAATATAGAGTTGATCAACTGTGAACAGACTCAAAAGAAAATCAAAAGGGAATGGATGCCAACACTATTCATCTTCACAGGAATAGCAGTAAAGGCTATACATTTCAACAGAGCCACTAGAAGAATGACCATGGATATTACTCCCAAGAGGTATTCTTTTTTTAGTTTATTGAGGTATAATTGACATATTAGTTCCAGGTATACAACCTAATGTTTTGATATTTGGATATATTGTGAAATGATCACAATAAGTCTAGTTAACATCCATCACCGTATTTGGTTACAGAATTATTTTTTCCTTGTTACGAGATCTATTAAGTTCTACTCTCTTAGAAACATTCAAATATGCAATACAGTATTATTAACTATAGTGACCATGCTGTACATTACATACTCATGACTTACTTATTTAATAACTGGAAGTTTGCGCCGTTTGACTCCCTTCACTTATTTTGTCCATCCCTCACCCTACCTCTGACAACTAACAATTTGTTCTCTACATTTATGAGTTATTATTTTTTTAAGATTCCACATCTCAGCGAGATTATACGGTATTTGTCTTTGTCTGACTTACTTCAGTTAGTAGAGTGCCCTCAGAATCCTCAGTGTCACCAATGGCAAGATTCTTTTTTATGGCTGAATATTGCGTGTGTGTGTGTGTGTGTGTGTGTGTGTGTGTGTGTGTGAGAGAGAGAGAGAGAGAGAGAGAGAGAGAGAGAGAGAGACACACACACACACACACAATTTCTTTATCCATTCTTCAGTCAATGGACTTTCAGGTTGTTTCCATATCTTGGCTATTGTAATGCTTCAATAAATATGAGTGTGCATATATATTTATTGAGATAGTGTTTTCATTTTGTTTCAATAAATAACCCAGAAATGGGACTGCTGGATTATATGGTAGTTATTTTTGTAATTTTTTTTAGGAATCTCCATACCATTTTCCATGGTGGCTGCACCAATTTATATTCCCACCAACAGTGCACAAGTGTTCCCTTTTCTTCACATCTTTGCCAATACTTGTTATTACTTGTCTTTTCGATAGTAGCCATTGTTTTTTTGTTTGTTTGTTTGTTTTTTTAATTGGGGAATTGGGGGGATGGGAACAGTGCTGGGGAATTGGGGGAAGGGGAACAGACAAGTTGCTGTCGTTTTTGTTCTTCAGTCT